ATGTATGTACTTCCCATTCTTAAGTATTGTTGCCCATTCTTTGGTTGGATGAACGAGGCTAGTCGTTTAAAAATTGAAAATGTTCAAAGACGTTTTTCTAAAAGAACTTCTAGATATGGAACATCCGAATATCTCCTAATCAGATAGATGCCAGATAATTAGCGTAAGCTTTTTATGGCTTCGAAGACTAGAATCAGGCTTCTGTTTCCTCTTTCGCATTAATAATAGTTCAAATTTTCCTCGGATTTCAGCACTTACCCCTAGTAGTGGCCCATACAATCTTCGTAACTCTTCTTTGATTATACCTCCTCCAGCTTCCTCCACCTCTAAGCGTTCTTTATTTTGCGCTTCCAGATATACTTTCCTCTGAAATAGCCTTCCAATAAATATAAGATCTTCCGATAATCCACATACGTTTAAGAGAAGGCTACGCCTTTATCTGAATACTGACTCGATTAAACTTTTATTTTCCTCATCCTTCCCAGACAACATTTTCTATGACACTGAGAAAGGGCCACCGGGAATTCAGTATGCCGCAATTGAATTTCCGTATCTGTTCACACTTCCTTTCTTTGCGATCAGTCTTGCTTCCTAAGATCCCTCACCAGAAATGTTAATTTTTCCAATTTTTTAGTTCATGCGTCTTGCCCTCACAGAATGCGACATATTGACGCTTTTGGCGGAGCCTTCTGTATTCGCCATATACAAGTAGTCTGGTTGCATCTCCATTGCCCCATCCTCGGATGGATTCTGATGAATGTAACCGATCGCATCTGGGTGCCTGTCGCCTCGAAACTGGTTTCTTATTTCGCCATTCATCTGAATTATTCAAGGCCACATCCTGGTCAGTCCTGACCGACACGCCTACTTACCCCTGTATGAAATCCGTTATACGATGCCAAATACGGCTGAAATTTTTTTCGGCCCAGACAATGTCCGACTATTATCCATTCTATACCGCCACATGCAGGCAAATCGTGCCGCAATTTTCTGTTTTTATTTTTTTCGAGTGTCTTTTTCTTCTGTCAAATCAATCCAGTCATTTGTTAATTTTCATGTGGTTTTTTTCTTTTCTTGCTTATCATTTTTCTTAACGGACATCTTATTCAAACACAATGTATTGCACTTTGTACAGGTTTTGCCTACCTCGTCTAAAATTCGCATGTATATTTATTTTTACTTGCTTTAATGGGACCCCAACTGATCTTTAATAAAAATTATTGTTATTATATTTTTGGAAATCCGGCATTCGTATTGCCTCGTACGACATGGAGGAAACGACAGGAACAGTATCCTTATTTGTCGTATTATAAGCCCGCGTCTGAAACTGAGTGCGGTTATAGACGATTCTCCAGTGTAATCCGTAATACCTGCGATTCATAATTAGTAGTAAAACGAATAGTATTTTATATTATTTTGTAAGCATTGCCAGGAAAAAAATATGCACGAATCCGGCTAGCCGTGAAAAATACTCCTGTTCAAGAGAAAAAGAAGATGGTGCAATTTTGGGTTTAAAGTGTTCTGGTGGAAAAATCTGCTGCCCATGAAATGACGACGTTCAAGGAAGAGGGAGGGATTGCACCGGATATTTTCAGTCGCCATTTCTTTTCAGGCACTTGGGACTGGACCACACGGAAGCACCAAAGAACAGCTGTCGTTGTTGGCTAAAGAAATTGTTCCATGGGGATCAGAGACTACGAACGTATATTCCATCGGTGCTTTCAGCATCCAAAATTTGTCGGAGTTTTCTGAATGCAAAAATTGAGCAACAGTTCTCGTAAACAAAGGATACTTTCGCAGAATTTTCATACTCCTGGGTAACTTACTTAACATAGCAATTGCGTTTACAGAAAAGAACCGCAGATATTTAACGGTATGTGCCGGAGGAAGAAATAAAAAGATCGCACGATGATTGCTACTTCGGCGGTTGGCAAGATGATTGGAAGTAGTGAGCGAGTTAAAGGTTGGATTAAATAAAGGCTCAAATAGCAAAAATAGTCCCATTTGTAGTCTACGAAACCAGAAAGTATCAAGACCTGTAAGCCGGCAACGTTCTTGGTAAGACCAATTTCGGTGTTCCAGGATTAAAACTCTCTTGGTAAAAAATGTTGGGCGGATTCTATTTTCCACTCAGCAACGTGCATGAGGCTAAATATGAACGAACCGTATTCCACTTCCGGCATAACGTACATGTTATAATGACGCATTCTAATACCGCTTGTTTTAAAATTTTGGAGGATACCTGCCAGCACATGGCCCCTTCATAGTCGGGGCTGGAAGGGGCTGGGTGGGGCCAGAGCCCCCTCTGGATTGAAGCATTTTGAAGCGTATTTGCATCGCAACATATGTTTCAAAAGCACCACTCATTGTACCTTCTTTGGCATTAAAAGGAGCTAATTTATCAAAATTGGCTCATAAATCATGGAGAAAGCATCCTTTAACGCCCACTGAATGTAGCTGCGGATGAGCACAACATACTGAGGTTTTGTTTAAGTCCCTCATTGCGTAAACTCTCATTTGTCCACCGGATTAGAATCTGTGTGCGTTATTTATTCGTATATTTGACAATCGATTGCAGATAATATCGTGAGTCAGCCAATGCTGTTTTCATGCTCTTGATAGCTGTCTTGGGGTGTAGGGGTGTCAGCGGTGGGTTCACGTAATGGTCGTGGTGGTCGCTCACTTGCTTGCAGGTGAGACTGCGCCTAGCGTCCACTTGCTGGCACTCAACTCTCACCTGTGGCTCTACGTAGCTGGGCTCTGCTCAGCGGCCACACCCCGGGCAACCGTCTCGACCGGCGGGCTAAACCAGGTGAGGGGGCCCAGTGCGCTGTGCCGTGTGCACAGGGTTTGCGGATTCCGCTGGATGGAAGGTCGTATGGAACCTTGCGTCGGCACCGTCGTGACGTGGTTCATCTATGCACGCCGCTGGACAGCCGGTGACGGGATGGATCTCCACATCGACACCGCCTTGACGCGCCCACCCTCGCCGACGGAGACCGCGGCTTACGGCGAATTCGAGTTGCTCTCCACTACAACCCGAAGTCGTGGTCCCATAGTGGAGTTCGGTCGTGACACAAGGGCACATGGCAGCCCTATTCAGGGATGGCACTGCCAGCCCCCACGAGGGCAAGGGCCTAGAAAAGGTGGCCTAAACATTGCTGGGTACCACGCCGTCTCCAGGCTGGCCAGGGCCGCAGACGTCTAAACATGGTCGAAAAAATCAAAATCGAAACAACAACAATGCCAATAACAACAACAACCATACTCATTCTCCTCATCCTACCTCTTTTTCCTCTAACTCCGTCTATTCTTCTGCCTATTCTTCTCCTTCGTCATCTTCTTCTCCATCTGCTTCCCGTCGCCCCACTCGTTGTCACCAGGCTGGCAGTGTGAGCGCGCTCGCTCTGGCAGCCTGGAATGTTAGTTCCCTTTTAGACAATCCGAGGAGCAACCGACCGGAGCGGAGGACGGCGCTAGTGGCACGAGAACTGGCGCGCTACAAGGTGGACATCGCCGCACTCAGCGAGACCCGTTTCTCCGAACAAGGCCAACTGGAGGAGGTGGGTGCCGGCTACACCTTCTTCTGGAGCGGTCGACCCAGGGCAGAGCGACGGGACGCGGGCGTCGCCCTCGCCATTCGGAACGACATCGTGGGACGACTGCCCTGTTTGCCGCAGGGCATCAACGATCGCCTGATGAGCCTCCGCCTGCCTCCCTGGGGAGGCAAATTCGCCACCATCATCAGCGCCTACGCTCCGACCATGACCAACCCCGACGCCGTCAGAGACAAATTCTACGAGGACCTGCACGCGCTCTTGGCGACTGTGTCGAAGGCGGACAAGTTGATTGTCCTTGGCGACTTCAACGCCCGCGTCGGCACAGACCATACTGCCTGGAGAGGAGTGCTGGGTCCTCACGGTCTCCGCGGCTTAAACGGCAATGGTCTGCTGCTTCTCCGCACCTGCGCAGAACACCGCCTCATGCTGACGAACACGTTCTTCTGTCTGCCGGAGCGAGAGAAGGCCACCTGGAGGCATCCTCGGTCGCGCCAGTGGCACCTGCTGGACTATGTCCTCGTCCGGAGGTGAGATCAGCGGGACGTGCTGGTGACGAAGGCGATCGCGGGCGCTGACGGGTGGACCGACCATCGCCTCGTCATCTCGAAGATGCGTATTTGCCTACAGCATCGCAGGAGACCACAAGGTAAGCGACCCCCAGGTAAGCTGAATGTTGCCTTGTGGTCTTTGCCCGCTCACCACCTTCATTTCAGCAATGAGCTAACTCAACGGCTAGACAACCGTGTCTCGACACGGTCCAGTCGACGGCGC